GTATATTATATACAGTATATTATATATATACACATATATCAAAACTTAATATATGCAAAATACAATGAGTGTTTTTGTGCATAATTTTAGATTCAGGAGACTGCTTTACCCCACCCCCCAATGATGATGGAAAATTGGAAAGTTTCTAATTCTTCTATATATATACAGTATATATATACAGTATATTATATAAAATCACGAATTAACTTGGGCGTTAATGCTATATGAACTAATGCTATATTGCCTGATATATTTGTATTAGATCGAGTAAAGCTGAGGTTCTCCTTCCATGAAGCAGCTCTGTTGTCCWRTATCATTTTCAGTTTGAGTCATTTCTACATTCTCCTCTCTGTCAACACGCTCTGGTTTCATTTTAAAAGGCTGATCTGCAGATGTTTTTCAAAAATAAACTTCAGGTTGGACAGAGCCTGCACTGGAGGACCTAGAAGCATCATCACTTACCCAGAATGCTTTGCGGTGTAAATAATATGGAACCYTTTGTGTGACTATAGATTTTTGTTTTATTTATAAAAACTAAGCAGCCTGCAGTATTTTTACAGTCTACGTTTTTATAGTTGAAGTAAATGTTTATCAAATGTCTGTTACAACAAAAAACAAACTCCTCATTTATAAACAATGGGATTAAAGTGCATCATTAAGAACCGCCCTCACTCACTGTTTGCATGTCTGGATGATGTTACATGTATTTGAACATGTATTTACATGTTCATGTTCATTACATGTATTTTGTAAACAGGCCTGTTTGTTTGTTGCTCGTTGTGTGATGTGGGTCTACCTGATGTACGGCTCGGTGCTGCTGGCGCTGGTCACCTGGTCCTTGGTGAGGTAGGTGTTGTGTGACGAGGAGATGAAGTAGTGGGACAGCGGGAGGCTCATGTCCTGGTGGACCCTGGCGTGGTCGGGGTTGAAGATGTCGGTCTCCAGAGATAGCATGTACATGGTGAACCCGTCCTGAGTCATGACCTGGTTCTTCTGAGCTGCAGGGGGAAACATCAGGTTATATTTCAGTGGCTTTAATTATCATTGCTGTGTCCTGATGCATCTCATTAATCCAGGTAGAAAAAAATTAACCAAACAAGGATATCAAGGATGAGAACATCTTCATCCCTGAAAAAGTGACCGCTGGCCTGTAGATGAGTGTAAACTGCAGAGTCCTGGCCTGTAGATGAGTGTAAACTGCAGAGTCCTGGCCTGTAG